TCATAAAATAGCACGCATTGAGCGCTTTTTTGAGAACCCTTTTGAGCGCTTTTTTGAGCAGCAGAAAAAGCACACATTCAGCACATGTTGAGCGCTCGATTGAGCAGCGGAAAAAGCACACATTCAGCACACGTTGAGCGCTCATTCAAGCAGCGAAAAAGCGCACATTCAGCACACGTTGAGCGCTTAGCAGCAAATAAAATTTCAGTTGTAATTTTTATTTTTATTTGTTTATTTTAAAATTTGAGCTCGGGGGTTTCCGGTGTTATCGGTGCCGGCGTTGCCTTTTTTTGGTACAACTCAAGTTTTTAACGCACCGCATTGCCTTCTGCAGCGCCTTTTCGGGAGGCTCCGAGGGATCCACTAGGGCGATTGCATCTAGTATTAGAAAAAAATTAGTTTTAAAAATAAAACGTAATCGTTATTTGTAAGATTTATTTATAATAAAAGAAATGTTATCTTTGGCATTCAATGTAAAATCCCAGAAGTCTTTTAAAAATTAAACTTACAAACAATAGTTTTCAGTCTCAACAAAAACTTACTTAATAAGGCACGGGCGAAATTTGGGTAGTCTGAGCCTCTTCTTGTTTTGCCCCCCTCCAAGTTGTGGGACAGAACAAGTTCCTCGGATAATATGCTTAAGATGGAACGACTTAGCCTTCCATTTTTTTATAGATTTACCATCAGCCTTGTCTAAAAATATAAAAAAATTAAAAAAATATCGAGAAGAATTTTGCAAACTTTTGTTTTCGGTCACTTGATTTATTTTATTTTGTTGTAAAAAATTATTTATGTATTTTTTTTATTATTTATTAAATTATTTATTTATTTTGCAGATGAGGAAAAAATACCACTTTTCCAGGGACGGAAAATTAGAGATGTTTGAGATTTTTATTTAAATAGCCATGTTTGTTTACTTACACAAAAATAAAAATTGTGCCCTAATGTTATTAATACAAAAAATCATAAGTTATAAAAACAAACATCTCTTATTTTTGGTCCCTAGGAACTTAGCACTCAATAAGATTTTCAAATTTTTTCACAGATTCATTCATTTGTTTATTTATATGCATCATTTGTTGTTTTTCACGTCAAAAATTAATATTTTTCACAGCTATTTTTTTTCCGCCACGTGTTTTTTTGGGAATCTTGTATTTTCCATTTTTTAAATATACATTAACTTGTTTTTACTCTCACTGATTAAATTAATATTGGTCTGCGACAGACTTACCTGGGAATCGTATAGGTATCACTTTTAAACCACTGGTTTATTTTATTTAACTACGTAATTGCGTGCAATTCTAACTCCTTCACATAAGTAAACCCAAGTGAAAAAGACGAAAAAAGTCGCGTGCCTTCCAGAAAAACAACAAGCAACAACAACAACGGTTCCGCTAATCCGTTGTTGTTCTGTTTTTTTGGCATGTCCCGTTTGGTCTATGCATCTTGCACATAAAAGTAGGGTATTTATAGACATATCCGACTATGCAAATCGGTTTATAAAAATATATTCTTAAAACTTCACATATTATTAAATAATATTAATAAACCTATAAATTTTTTTAAGAAATACAAATATTTGAAAACAGAAACCTATTATTTTAAATGGTTGTTTTATCATTTACGAACAAATGTTGCATTATTCAAAAGGCAAGGGTGCACAAAAGTCTATATATTTTAGTTGCTGGGCCTCCTTCCCATCACACGCACTTTTCCGTCTGAGACATGGCGAGAGAGGGAGAGCCCAAAATTACTTTTTGTGCGTTCTCTTTGCGGACCCGACTGAGGGCGCGTCGCTTTGCCGCCGTTGCGCTCAGCTCTGCCGGCGTCGCTGGCTTCTCTGCCGACGTCGCAGTCGGGTTCGTGATGATTGGGCGCTTAGCTCAATTGTGGAACTGCAGGGTGCTTAGCATTGATTCCTTTTTTCTTCTCTCTTTCCTTCTTCTCGAATATACGATATTTACATTGAAATTAGAGCAAGAATAAATATGAATAAGGAGAATAAGTTCAAGAATATTTCACCTTTTCGTGGTGAAAAATATTCAGTGTGGAAATGTCGTGTGAATTCTCTTTTAGCTGAAAATGATGTTTTATTTGTAATCGAAAAAGAAAAACCCCAAGAAATAGAAGAGAAATGGACAAAGGTAGAAAGATCAGCAAAAAGCATTATAATAGAATTTCTAAGCGACTCCTTTCTTTCTTTTGCCGATAATAATTCGACTGCAAAAGAGATTTTTGAAAAATTAGATTCGATCTATGAGCGAAAAAGTTTGGCAACGCAACTTTCTGTGCGTAAGCAATTATTGACATTCAAATTAAATGGCGACACACCTCTTATTATTCATTTCAATAAATTTGATGAATTAATCTTCGAATTAATGGCATCGATGATGCCATTGATGATGATGATGATTGATGAATTAATCTTCGAATTAATGGCATCGGTGGACAAAGTAGCTCACCTTCTTCTGACAATTCTTCAAGCTACATCTCTAAGTAACAACAAACAAAAAGCATTGCATCTGAAAACCAAGTTTAAGGCAAAACCCTCAAAGAACTTTAAGTCCAATTTGAAATGTCATCATTGTGGAAAGAAGGGTCACTTTAAGAAAGATTGCTTTATTTTCAAAAGGGGCTTAGAAAATAAAGATAAAGAAAAACATGCCTAAGTTTCGAATGTAGAAACAGGTAGATCATTTTATGTTAAGGCAGGGCAGGAACTATAGAGGTGACGGTGACATGATAAACAACATAAATCTGTTCTCAACCTATTCTACACTGGACACGCCAATTGAGATTGCAATTGCAAAGCAAGGTGCATTCATATATGCTTCTGCAAAGGGAACAGTCCAACTCCGAAGTAATCTTAATAAGAGCATTACACTGGAAATGTCCTGGAAAAGATTTACCCCAAAATGTACTGTCCGTCTCGAAGCACCAGGCTGCAGGCTTAACAGTTGAATTCAATTCAACGGGAGTACGAATTTCCATGAATGGACAAGGTATTTTTGAAGGTACGTGTATAAGCAATGTATCGATCGTGAATTTGAAAATAAACCATAAAGCTTATACAACTTACCCAAATAGAAATCAAAACTATAGTTTGTGGCATGAAAGATTAGGACATATTAGCAAGGGAAAGTTTTTAGAAATTGTGCGAAATAATATGTTTGAAGAAGTAGAACTTGTAAAAGATATTAAATTTAATAATGAATTATGCGAAGCTTGCATAAATGGTAAGCAAGCTAGACTTCCATTTGAGAAAATTAAGAATAAAGAATATATTAAGAGGCCTTTATTTATAATTCATTCAGATGTGTGTGGTCCGACAACTCCACTAGTATTGAAGGAAGAAACTATTATGTAATCTTTGTCGATCAGTATACACATTACTGTGTAACTTATTTGATGACCTATAAATCTGAGGTATTTAATTTCTTCAAGGACTTCATCGCAAAGAGTGAAGCTCATTGCAATTTAAAGGTTGTGAATCTATACATCGATAATGGCAGAGAATATTTGTCAAATGAGATAAAGACTTATTGTAGTGAAAAAGGCATAAGTTACCATTTGACGGTTCCACATACACCGCAATTAAATGGAGTATCTGAACGTATGATCAGATCCATAACTGAAAAGGCTAGAGCAATGATTAGTGGATCTAAATTAAATAAAAGTTTTTGGAGCGAAGCCGTTTTAACGGCAACATATTTAGTTAATAGATCTCCAAGTAGAGCGTTTCAGGATAAGAAAACTCCATTTGAAATGTGGCACAACCTAAATTGAAATATTTGCGCAAAATGGGGAAAAGAAAATTTGATGACAAATCATTCAAATGTATACTGGTTGATAATTAACAGAATGGCTATAAGTTGTGGGACATAAATTCAAAGAAGTTTTTGGTAGCTAGAGACGTAGTTGTTGATGAAATGAATATGGAGAATACTAGGACTGTGGCAAATGACTCAGAGTTTCAGAATGAAAGTATGGAACTGGTAGAAAGTATTCAGAATGATAGTATGAATAATATACAATTGTCGACTGAAATGAATTCAGGAGCAGAGGAGTCGAATAGCCTAGTGAGACAACAACTTGCGAAAATGCCGATGCAATCATTGGTGAAAAATTGCCTAGTATGCAATGAAAAGTAGATGAAATTGAAGTCAGAAGAAGTGAAAGATCAAAAGACAGGCCAAAAACGTCTTATCGGCTCTTAAACAATTGCTTAACGAATGCTCACGCCTTTTGTGATGATATATCAAATAACTACAATGATATTAAAAATAGAACAGACAGAACTAAGTGGGAAGAAGCCGTAAAAGAAGAATTAGACTCGCATTTTTATAATAAAACTTGGACTTCAGTTGATCAGCCTCTACATAAAAATATTGTTGATTGCAAGTGGGTGTTTTCTATAAAAACTAATGAGCATGGCAAGCAAATCAAATATAAGGCCAGATTAGTAGCTCGAGGATTCACCCAAAAGTATCTTTCAGATTATGATGAGACTTTTGCTCCAGTTGCAAGAATATCTAGTTTTTGATTCATTTTATCCATGGCAAACCAATTCAATTAAAAAGTTTACCATATGGATGTTAAGACGGCATTCCTAAATGATATTTTAAAAGAGGAAATCTTTATCCGGAGGGCTTGCCATATGAGGATGGTAAAGTCTGTAAATTGAACAAGTCTATTTATGGGTTAAAACAAGCGGCACGATGTTGGTTCGAGACATTTGAGCATCGGTTTTATTAATTCGGCAGTGGATAGATGTATCTATTTACTAGACCATAGGGATATCTTAAAAAATATCTATGTGCTTTTATACGTAGATTATCTTGTAATTGCAACAAAGAGCATTGACACAATGAACAATCTTAAAACATTCCTAATGAGTAAATTCCGGATGACATATTTATGTGAAATCAGACACTTTATTGAAATAAAAGTAGAAAGAAAAGATGGTTATTTATATCTTAGTCAATCAGCATACATTAACAATATTTTAAAAAAGTTTAATATGGACGAATGTCATGCAGTCAGTACACCACTTCCAACTAAGCTAAATTATGAAGCTTTAGACTCAGATGAAGAATGTAGTGCGCCGTGCCGAAATCTGATTGGGTGTTTGATGTATCTAATGTTATGTACGCGTCCTGATCTAAGTGCAGCAATAAGCATACTTAGTAGATATACAATCAAAAACAATTCAGAATTATGGCAAAGTATAAAAAGAGTTTTGAGATATTTAAAGGGTACTGTGGATCTGAAATTTACTTTTATTAAAAATTAAAATTTTAACGACACAATTATTGGGTATGTTGACTCTGACTGGGCAGGAAGTGAATCTGATAGAACGAGTACAACAGGTTTTATATTTAAAATGTTTGACTCTAATGTGATCTGCTGGAATACGAGGAAGCAAAATTCAGTGGCTGCTTCTTCGACTGAAGCGAAATATATGGCTTTATTTGAAGCAGTAAGGGAAGCTTTATGGTTAAAATCGTTAGTCTCTAGTATAAAATTAAATAAACCCATCAAAATATTAGAAGATAACCAAGGTTGCATAAGCATAGCTAATATTCCTACATGCCACGAACGATCCAAACACATTGATATAAGGAACCATTTCTCAAGAGAGCAAATTGAAAATAAATTAATTATTTTAGAATATATTCCCACAGAACACAAGGTTGCTGATGTCCTCACAAAGCCGTTGCCCGCTGCAAGATTCTTGACACGAAGAATCGAGATGGGTCTTAAGAACTAAAACTATATACTATAAACCAAAAGAAAAAAAAGGAAACTGTTGAAACTGATATTTAATTTAGAACTTAGTTTAAAGAAAAGGATGAACTGGTAATTTAATTTAACTAAATTAAGAATTTTAGTGTATTTATTCGCTAGAAGCTAAGGAACATTTAATTTGTCAAATGAAATTTAAATTTTTTTTTATTAACCAATGATTCGATTAAGGTTTTACTGGGTTTCCCTTAATCCTAGAACTAGTTTGATTTGATCTTAGCAAAACTATTTCTAGATGAATATGGATCATTATTATTGTTCCCAGAATACACAACTGTCCAAATAAGAATATTCTTGTAATACTAATTTAATTTTAAATTGTTCAACATATCTTTTGAGGAGGTGTGTGGAAAAATACCATCTTCGTGTTTTTCTATACGCAAAAGATTGTTCAACACCGAAGGGCTGGTCACGCTGAAAGTGGCTTGATTCCTCTCCCTTTGACTTTGGCTTTAGAACGGACAAGTTGTGTTATAAAAGAAGCGTCTATTAAACAGAAAAACTTTGAACTAAAAACTAAAATCGTGTACTAAATCAATTAAGGAATCGGGAGAAGGCCTTTATTTCCAACAGATTCTGATTTAACAATTTGCCTTAGGATCTAAGTAAGCCTAAGTCTCGGAGCTGCGCTTCCTACAGTTGGACGGCAGAGAGACGGCTATGTATATCTTATGTATATCAAGTGTATTTAATTATACTCTCTTTAGCTGGAGAGCGAGGGTATATGTATGTACTTGAGTTTGGTTGAGCGGCCGGCGTGTGTAACAGAATGCTGACACTTACACTTTCTATGAGCGCACCGATCGACACATGTTTCGGCCACTTAGGTTTTTGACCGGGCCTTTGTTTATGTAAACACTGCAACAAAGTGTTACAGTGTGTTTGCTTCAAGTACAGGTACAGTAGATATTCAATATATACGCAAACTACATCTCCCTCCTTTTGAAAAATAACGTAATATTATGAAGTTATTTTATTATTATATTTTACTTAAAGGAATAATTATATATTTTTTTTTAAATCTTGTTTTTTTCTTTTAATTTTCTTTTTTTAGATACAAAGAGAGTAGAATTGGGAATAATATTCGTATTTAAAGAAAAAGTATTTCTAAGCATGGCCATCCTAAATACAATTATGAAATAAACGTTTTTAATCTATCCTTATGAACTGTTTGTTTTTTGTTCTTATTATTCCGTATTATAATGTTATTTCTTTATCCTATCTCCGTTACTTTATACGGACCGGTATGTTTATAATCTAACTTATGACCTGTTTCATTTCTTAAAAGGACTTGATCACCTACTGATATATCTATGTTTTTTATTTTCTGATCATATACTATCTTATTATTTTCCTTATTTTTTTCTATCATTATTCTAGCTTTTTTGTAAGCTACTTCTAATCTATATTCACGTTCTTTAGCATAGTCATCTATATTATATATGGGATCTATATTTTCTATACTATTAAATTGTCTTGGTAAATTATTTGTTTTACCAAGTACTAGCTCGTATGGACAATAATTATGTGCCATTGAAGGGGTCGTGTTGAAACAAAGTCCCAATCAGTTTTATCCACCGATATATATGAGCGTATGTATTCATTGAAAGTTCTATGACTTCGTTCTATTGTTCCTACTGTTCAAAAATTGCTTTAAGGACAGTGTTCGCGTTTTTATTTTTAACTGGTAGGGCAACTAAATATTTAGTCAGGTCACATATTAGAGTGACTGCATACTCATTGCCATTTACTGATTTTGGTAATGGACCAATAGTGTCCACTATCACTCTGTCGAAAGCAGTTGTAGGCGTATCAGTTATTACCAATGGAGTCCTATTGTGCTTAGTTATTTTAGCTTTTTGGCATTTCTGACATTTTCGTATGTATTCAGTAATATCTCGAGTCATACCTTTCCAAAAATAATGTCTTTTGGTCTTGGCCAAGGTTTTTGTAATGCCAGTATAACCTCCTTGTATTGGATCATCATGGAATTTAGACAGTATTGCTTCTTTCTCGTCTTGATTTTCTATAAGGGCCACCGGGGTGAGTAGCGATACTCTTAAGGTATTCAATATCTTGTTGCCCATTTGTTTAAAATTATCTATTGATACATGTCCTAAGTCTAGGATTACATTGGTATATAAATCGCTAACATCATATCTTGCAGTAATTTTCCTACCATCTTTAAATAAACATATCATATCCTTTACATGCCAGGTCACTACTTTACGTACTTCGTCATTGTTTATGACTTAATATACGTTGGGCTTAGAAGCTTTCTCTATAGAATGCGTTGGCAATTCTATTTATTTGTTTTTAGCACGGATTTTCTGTCTATTTTGATATCAAGTAGTGACTTTCCTTATATTTCCAGTAATGTTTTGTAGATCTTTAATGGTTATTATCGATAACGCATCAGCTACATAATTGTCTTTTTCCTTTAGGTATTCAACTGTGAAACCATACTCTTCTAACTCTAGCCTCATACGTGTCAGCTTGGAACTGGGATTTATCATTGAAAATAGATATATTAATGGTCTGTGATCTGTTTTGATTGTAAAGTGATTTCCATAAATATATGGTCGAAAATGTAGTGTTCCCCAGTGAATTGCAGCTATTCCTGAGCTTCTTACGCAGCGCAAGTTTGTTTCAGCAATGTGCCACGCCCACTCTTACGCCCACAAACCGCCCAAAACTGTGGCTCCTACAGTTTTGATGCTAGAATAAAAACTTTTACATAAATGTAATCTTCTCATCAATACCTATCGAGTGACCCAAAAAAAAATTGCCACGCCCACTCTAACGCCCACAAACCGCCCAAACCTGTGACGGCCACAGTTTTCATGCTAGATAAAAAATTTTAACTGAAATGTATTGGTCTCGTCAATACCTATCGATTGATCCAAAAAAAATTTTGCCACGCCCACTCTAACGCCCATAACGCTTAAATCTGTCTACCGCCGGTAGGTGGCGTACTCAAATCTCGAATTGCTGCTGGCATATCTCCATTTCCCTTTGGTCCCTTTAGCTGAGTAACGGGTATCTGATAGTCGAGGTACTCGACTATAGCGTTCTTCCTTGTTTTTTATATACACTGGTTCATCATCCTTTAATCTAAGTTTTTGTTTATAAAATCTATTTGTGCTTATTGGTTCGGTTTCCAATCCGAATATATCATTATATTGTGTGCATAGACTTGAAAGCTGTTATTTGAATTGAGGAGGAAAGTTTTTTGAAAGTTGAGATAATACAGATTTTTCTCTATTTTCTAGATTAGTTTTGACTACATCGTAGTTCGAAAGTGATTCATAAGCTAAATTATTTTTACTGACTACTTGTTCTTTTTTTGTGGCATGGAGTAGTCTTATGAAAGCGTTTTTAGATGTTGGTATGGCACTTGCTATATAAATACCATGGTTAATTTCTTGACTTGGAGTCAATACACTGTCTTCTTTTGAATTTAGTGGAATTTTTCTAATAACTTGGGAACTTGCTGGCAGAAGTATTGAGTTGTTGCCAGAGCTGTATGTTATTGGAACATAAATAGGAAATTTTAAGTTATTAGGTCTAATTAAAAGCCAATCTTCAGATGACTTGAAGTCTAATTGACAGTTGTATTTTTTTATAAATCTAAAATGCCATTACAAGGGATAGCGAAATGCAAATCCACGATATGAAAATCGTGTTTGATTATGTACTTAGTGGTCTGTATCTCAATAGAAGTTAAGCCTTGGATTTGGTTACCTCTTGACTTATTCCTCTTATGTCTATAATATAATGATCTTGTATGTCATGAAAGACATCAGAATTTTCTTTAACTACTGAAATGTCTGCACCTGTGTCTACTAAAAAGACAAGTTATTTTCCTGTAGCCACATGATTGAATGATACAAATATGTTCTTACTGAGACTAACGGTATGAACCCTTGCATTTTCTACTGTTGAATATCTAAAGGGTTTTGTGAGTTTCCCGATGTACTATTGGTTTGGCTATTGGTTACTAGGACATTATTTTGGTTATTATTGTTGTGGCCTCGACTCGAGTTGCCACGGCCTCTATAGTTTCCTCTATATTGGCCTCGTCCAGTATTGTTTTGGGTACTATTGTTGTTGTAATTATAATTACGACCACGAAAGTTACCTATGTAATTTCCTCGTCCGCGGTTTCCGCTGCGCTGCGGGTAATTTTTTAGATTTCTGGCGACACCTCTTATCTTTGTTTTTATTATGGAAACTGCTATTTGTTCGTGCTCGCCTTTTATTAATTCTGTTATTTCTAATGCATCAATAAAACTTGTTAAGTTTTCAGCCTTACCATCGAAAACTGGGATAAGCTTGGATGCTGTATTAATAAAATCAATATTAGATTGTACCATTGTGATTTTGTTTCTTGTCTTATTTTCTATATATTATTTTCTATAAGATTATTTAAATCGTGCTTTTCTATTTTAGGATTTGTTTCTGATTCTATTTGGTCAGTGTCAGTTTGTTTTGTTGATTCCGGTTCATCGCCAGTTTCAACTGTTAGGGAAGTGTTAAGTATAGTCGGTACTGATATGTCCAACTTTAACTTTTGTTTAATTGATATTAAATTAGATCGTAGTCTGATCAACAATTTTGATACTTGGGACCAATGATCTTGATTTAATTTTTCCCTCTGGCCATGTATTAGTATTCGTGCTTCATTAAATCGTTTTACTGTAATTTCCACATGTTTTTTAATGGGATTTTTTTTGAATTGGCCTGTTTTGAGTGAGTGACTTATATGATTTATCAAAGTCAACTTTTATGTTATTTACTAGCTTATATAATTCATTCCATTCCATTATATTATGGAGATAAATTATTATTTCTTAAGGACCGTCATTACTATTGCTCTACCTTGTACTACTACTGATCTAACTTGTACACCTGGAATGGTGGATAATACAATTCCCTTTGTGCAATGTATTAGTGGAGATGTATCCAAATTAAATGTTTCAATATATAAATTTTCTAGTTCATAAATGCTTACTGAAGTTGGTGAAACTAATTGCAGAATTCTTTCTTTAAAATAAATGTCCCAATCATATGTGTCTCTAATTTCCTTTAGTGTAGCCATTTTTAGTAAATATATTTTTATTTATTTATTTTTATTTTATTCCGTTTTCTTTAATGTTTAAATTTGATTACAGAACTATTTTTCTATTAATTTTGTTTGTGCTATAATTATACCCGTTACTCGTAGAGTAAAAGGGTACACTAGATTCGTCGGAAAGTATGTAACAAGCAGAAGGAAGCGTTTCCGACCCCATAAAGTATATATATTCTTGATCAGGATCACTAGCCGAGTCCGTATGAACGCTGAGATCTCGGAAACTATGAGAGTTACAATACCGGGATTAGGGACGCAGATTCCTGAGATTCCTGCGCAGCGCAAGTTTGTTTCAGTAGAGTGCCACGCCCACTCTAACGCCCACAAACCGCCCAAAACTGTGGCTGTGTGATGCTAGAATAAAAATTTTAGCTGAAATATAATGTTCTCATCAATACCTATCGATTGACCCAAAAAAAAGTTTGCCATGCCCACCCTAACGCCCATAAACCGCCCACAAACTTCAAAAAATCGTAAATATGAACGTGGATATCTCGGAAACTATCAAAGATAGAGAATTGGGATTTCAGATTTAGATTCCGTAGCCTTATACGCAGCGCAAGTTTGTTACGCGAATATGCCACGCCCACTCTAACGCCCACAAACCGCGAAAACCTGTGACGCCCACAATTTTTATGCTAGATTCAAAATTTTAACTGAAATGTATTGGTATCGTCAATACCTATCGATTGGTCCAAAAAACGCCCACGCCAAAACTACGCCCACTCTAATGCCCATAAGGCTTAAATCTGTATACCGCCGTGGTGGCGCATAATAATCTCGCTTTGCTACTTGCATATCTCTATTTAGCTGAGTAACGGGTATCTGATAGTCGAGGTACTCGACTATAGCGTTCTTCCTTGTTTTTTTTTAAATTTTGTCCAGATCATTTGCCTGGCACATATATTTCTTCTTAAGACATGTATTATGCAATTTATAAAGTTTATAGAAACAATTTGCGCACTTTATAACAACAATTATTATTAAAAATTTATGAATTAATTCTAGGTCAATGTTATCCGACTCGACTTTA